CTCTATATACTGCTTCCCATTCCTGCCCCATTAATTCCTCCTTAAGCCTCCGTTCTGTTTGTTCATTAATCACCCTCCTGTAGTACAGTTTTGCTGTTTGCCTTTCTTTTCTAATATGGCAGTCATAAACCAGAAATACAGGCAGATGATCAGTAATATCATTTATAAGTAATCCACTTGTCATTTTGCTTTCAATATCATTGGTAAATATATTATCTATTAGTGTCGCATGCTGGGCTGTTACTCTACTTGGTTTTGTGATTTTTGGGTATAAACTGCATCTGTGTAAAGTGTTGATAAACTCTTCCGTTCCTGTGTGCTTGTTAGGGTTTAACAAGTCAATGTTGAAGTCGCCACATATGAACATTAGTTTATGACTTATTGTCAAATAGTTCTCCTCTATCCAGTCATTAAATTTTTCTATGCTGGCTCCAGGTGCTCTATAAATACAGCTTATTACAACCTTTTTCTTTTTTTTCATGGAAATTTCTACAGTCACACACTCCAGCAAGTTATCAATAGTCCTTGACATGTTCTCGACTTTTTCATAACAGAAGTTATTATCTACGTACAAGGCCACACCACCTCCCGTCTTATTCTCTCTGTTTGTGCATACCAAATCATAGCCTTCAAGGTCAAAATCCATTCCCCTTAGTGTTGATCCAAGTTTCAGTAATAGCAATTATATTAAAAGAATGTGTAAGACTACTAAGATAATGTTTTATACTCTGAAAGTTTGCACATAAACTTCTGCTATTGAAGTGAATTAATGATAATTTGTTTTCAGTCTTGACATTGCTGTTAAACTGCTCATCCGTGTAATACTTGCAGTTATTTTCAGAGTTCTTAAAAAAGTTTTTTTCAGGGTCAAAGTCATCGTCCGTTTCATGATAATGTTGTTCAGTGTCTCCAATTGTGTCCAGTTCCAGATCCAATCCCTCAAAAACTATTAACTTCTGTAACAAATCATTTGCCACATTCCGTACGTGGGTCATACTTGTTGTTCCTGCTAATTGCTAGTTCCAATGCTCATCTGCCCTCGCAGATATCAATATACCTGCATGTTTCTTCATACAGCTGAGGGTCCAGCGACCCCTTCATACTCTCCTTGTCTCGGCATACTGGTCCTCGGCGTGCTGGTCATGGCTCCTGGATTCTGGTTCCGAGGGCGAGTCACTAGTCGGTCATACTGCAGGAACACGATGTCTCCCCTCTCCCTGGCCTCCCTTAACATCGGCATCAACTCCCTTCTTCTCTTCCTCACAGACTCGGTGTAATCTTCATTTATATAAATATTAGATCCTTTAAGCTTCTTTGCTTGTTGCAGTATGTGTGCCTTATCCTTCTCTTTCATCAACTTTACCATCACCGCCCTCGGTCCCCGATCAGAAGGTTTCCCAACTCTGTGAGCCCACTCCATCTCAATTTCTTGATGAATTTGCAGTTTAT